CCCAAATAACGATTTCCACGAGAAACAGTAGCATTCCATTCGTATCCAACCAGAAATCATGAAAAAACTACACGATTTTTAAAAAACAACCGTGGTTACTCACTGGTAGTTGACTTCGCATCCACTAAAAAACGTGACGACGTGATAATTAAATGCGATCGCGCGTGCGCCCTCTATAGATTTTCTGGATGAACGTCTTGCGATCAAAGTACCCGGATGCAACCCTTGCTTTGTTGCAAGAAGAAACCCGCGTGCTTTCGGCAACTTTCCCATCGTGGGTGCCAATAGTTTTGGTGTCATTTTTTTACGGTGTGATGTCAGTTACGAGGTATACCACATTCGGGGAGGACAAACAAGGGTTAGATTACAGATTTATCAACACGGTGCCTGGTAATCCCGAAGAACTACTCCCTGTGTATGCTGAAACATGAATAACATCTCAAACAATTGTTGCAGTATAGTTGACACGCTAAAACCTGCACTTCAGCTACGGAATGGATACGAAACAAAATGGTAACCGCGTGACGACGTGATATTCCATTTCCGTGATTTGGCATAAAACATGTTCATGCACGGTCAAACGGCCTCCAAATTACTAGATATGCCACCTGAAGTACAAGTAGACATCGATGATTAAGATGGTTGTACTTAAGTTTACTTACGATCCGGAAGAAAAGTGAAATTTTCCGTTCATTTCGGAGAGCTCCCCTCGCGATCTTGAACACGTTAAATTTCCGATCGTGTTTAATATTTGAACGACGCGATTTCTTCTACATGCCCAGCGTACATTCGATGGTCCCCGTATCCCGAGTGCGATTCCGTTACCGAGCGCGCGCGATGCATCGATTATGATAATGAGTAGACTGGATCACGTTTGTAAACACATGTGCATTTCAAACGATAATAGGGAGTCGGGAACTAGCGCAGCTTTTATGGCGGGTACCAGTTCAAGCTGGTTCCCGATTCCCTTTTACAGTTCAAAATGCACATGTATGTGTTTACAAACGTGACTCATTATCATAATCGTGCATCGCGCGCGCTCGGTAACGGAATCGCACACGGGATACGGGGACCATTGAATGTACACTGGGCATGTAGAAGAAATCGCGTCGTTCAAACATTAAACACGATCGGAAATTTAACGTGTTCAAGATCGCGAGGGGAGCTCTCCGAAATGAACGGAACATTTCACTTTTCTTCCGGATCGTAAGTAAACTTAAGTACAACCATCTTAATCATCGATGTCTACTTGTACTTCAGGTGGCATATCTAGTAATTTGGAGGCCGTTTTGAAGGTGAAATCTGATGTTTTTTGTTGGAAAATGTTGGTTTGGGACAGTGACAGGATGATGTTGTCCAGGTCGCGGTATTAGCTTGGACCCCACTATCGCCAGACCATGTCCAAAATGTTAAAAAAGGCGATAAGTTGGGTCCAAGTTACTCGGACTAGAAGAGGCTAAGCTTTCACAAATGACGCTAAATATGTGTCCCGAAACCCTAACTGAAATTGCACATCGTAATGGAAATATCACGACGTGGTTTCCATGCGACTGTGTGGTACGATTTTGTGTTTTGGCCTGTGCTTTTGCCTGCGTTGGATGGTCAACGTCTGATCTATTAAAAATGGGGTCCTTTTCATTATCTGTTTGAAGGGGGTTCGAAAGTTGGTGATTTTTACTGAAGTTAGTCTAAAATAAGAGGGGAAGTGTCAACATTGATTGGTCACAGGCCAGGATACCGCCAGACCATTCCATTCTCATAATGGGGGTGGAGCATCATGTGATTTTCTTTTTCTGGTTTGAATTAAGATATTTCAACATTTTTTTCAAACAAAAGAAACAAAACACATAAGAATGAATAGTACAAAACTAAAAAAAAATCTTCCCCTAAGAAATAAATTCATAATTTGCATTGATTTAGGCTTCAGCATGTTCAGTAAATTCATCCATTTGGGAATGGTTAATCCAAGGAACAATGCATCCAACAACACTGTTATGTAATGGGTACTAGAGGGTGGGAATGGAGTGGGGAAGGGGAGGGTAGAGTGGGGAGGGGGGGGTGGGGTAGGGGAGGGTAGGGACGGGATACGGGAAGGATGGGGACGGCAAAATGGTTTAGGCATCACATCTTGAGATGTAATCAGAACGTTCGATAATTTGGCATCCATGTTACATGTGAAACCCAACCCTGTCCAATAATGGGAGTCTCGAAGCTAAACTCTCTCACATCTTTAGCGGATGTTTCAAATTTGTTCATTTTTAATTAATATACCGGTAAATGAAGTTTTACTCATTTTTTTATCAAGTTTAAAGTTTATTACCTGATTAAGACTGAATTGTTTGTGATGGACTTATGATGGACTTGCAGGGACTTGTGATGGACTCGACTACAACACTGTTATGTAATGGGTACTAGAAGGATGGGAATGGAGTGGGGGAGGGTGGGGTGGGGTAGAGGAGGGTAGGGACGGGATACGGGAAGGATGGGGACCGCAAAATAGTTTAGGCATCACATCTTGAGATGTAATCGGAACTTTCGATAATTTGGCATCCATGTTACATGTGAAACCCAACCCTGTCCAATATGTTATGGGTACTAGAAGGGTGGGAATGGAGTGGGGGAGGGTGGGGTGGGGTAGGGGAGGGTAGGGATGGGATACGGGAAGGATGGGGACGGCAAAATGGTTTAGGCATCACATCTTGAGATGTAATCAGAACGTTCAATAATTTGGCATCCATGTTACATGTGAAACCCAACCCTGTCCAATATGGGAGTCTCAAAGCTAAACACACTCACATCTTCAGCTGATGTTTCAAATTTGTTCATTTTTAACTAATATAAATGAAGTTTTACTCATTTTTTATCAAGTTTAAAGCTTATTACCTTATAATCCATATATCAGTTTCACGTGTAACAGGACACCAATATTTTGGTGTCATTGTTACATGTGAAACCACAAAATTATTTTGCATGGATACTGTCTTGTGTAAAAGAAATGGTAACATGGCAAAATAAGTTGAACGTGTGGGTTTGCTTCCTTGTGTTTTACACGTTTGGTGTAGACAAACATTTTTGGAACAGACAATACAAGAAAAAATATGTATGAAGGGCCAAATTTATATAATTTGCCCATTTCATGTGAGTGAACAACAGCTGATTTCAATAATCTCATAACGATTAGCCAAAAAATGTATGAATTTAATTAATGTACTTATCAAGCCCTTTTAAATACATTCTATACTTGGAGCATATCAATTCTATAAAATAACAATGGGAAAGGTGATTCCTCATGTTTGGTGTCCATGTTACATGTGAAACTTGCTTTGCATCTGTTAATAAACAACACTGTTAAAAATAAAACGTTTGACAAGATGTCTCAAAATGGTTTATTATTTTAGACACTACATATATGTCAGCACCTAAAAAAGTTATTTTAGTGCTCTTCACATTATTTTGAAAAACTCACCCTCATGTCACACATTCTGTACCCAACTTTGTGGAATTACCCACATACATGTACAAAATTACATGAATACAGGTAATGAACAACGGTATGTACATTGTACATGTACATGTACATGTATCTGGCTGTATCCCGACTCCCCGACCAACTGACTGACTGACTGACTGTAACTTGTGACTTCTAGCCTGGTTGTAGCCTGTCATGCCTGTTGCAGAGAACCGTGCAGTGCTATCATACAGTATTACCCTTAATAATTATGTGGCATACTGTGTAGATTAGGCCTGGGAGAGAAGTGGATTTTTCTACTCGAGTACTCGCGAAGAAATTACTCTTGAGACAGTAGGCATGTACATGTACTCCCAAGTACAATGTATGGGTAGTTAACCAAATTCCCATAAAAGCAGAAAAATGACATGTATACACATTAGTGTGACGTGAAGTAATTTACAAGCAAATACCGTAACGTGCAAATCACACCACATTCTTCAGCACTGAGATATTGTTGATGTACCCTAACGTGGCGCGGCCCCTAATGGGCGCACTTTGATTTTTTGCCTGTAGCGCCTAGCTAGAGCAAAAGTTTGAACTGATTCTGTGAAATTTCGTTAGGTTCTATTAAGCACTCCCGTTCATAAATCACGAGTTTATCTACCCGTTACAAAGGTCGAAAAAAATGTTATTTCAGCGTGATTTTCCGATTTTTTTTTTCGAAGTGCACAGTGAACCCTTGGAAATGTCCTCAAAAAATAGAAAATTATTTTCTGACAAACTTCTAGTTGGGTATGTTTATCAGAATTTATCAACTTTACAGAAATGTTAATTTGGAATTGCCTGAGAATTATTGTGCGCCACGTTGGGGAACACTCAGCCGATTTGTGCCCAATTTCCGGACGCCACCGTTGGTGAATTGTTCACAGAGGTTAAATTACATTGTAGCAAGCATTATTAAGGTACATGTAAAAGTACCAGTATGAATGAATTTGAAGTTTGTCAACAAAGAAGTTTGGCACACTGATGTGGAAAGTCGCGGTAACTGTCGAAGTGCGCCACGTTAGGGAACACCACTATATCCTTACTGCGCAACGTTTTGGGTCATTTACGTAATTTTTGGTGTTTTTTTTAAAGACGAATGAAATCCTAGGGAGGAATGTTTACAGAGGACGTATTAAGCCGTGAACCCTACAGCCAAAATTGCTGTACTCACGAGTACATGTACAATGTACCTGCTTCTACTCACCACAGTCATTCCAGTAGATCATGGAGGTAGCCTCCATGAGTAGATGAAAATCTATGAGTACGGTACATTGTAGAACAACAGGTAGCATGAACGACTAAAGAGTATTCGGTAGTGTAGACCAAATGCAATAACATTTTCCAGTGAGCCATTCTGAATCCATTGAATCTATTGTGTGCACGGGGGCCAGCTTTATACTAGCCTTGCCGTAATTTGTTTGATACATGTAGTTACCGGTATGTGTACAGTACATGCATGTATGTTTTCACTTGTTGATGTTTGTTTTGTCTTTTTTCCATGCAGGGCAAGACACGGCCAAAACCACAAGTCAAGCTTTTCAACAGGATGACCACATACAGGATAGTTGAGGATTCCTCTGTCATCGTCTCAACCTAGATTGGCAAAAATCCCTAAAATCAGCGAAATTTGTTTCTATCGTGCTGATGTTAACCCTGCCGCAATGAATCCGTACTTAAGGAACCTCCTGATTTTAACCTTAATCGGAACCGTGAACTTCTTTGCCTTTATGTTTATATCGGGGCGCTCGTCGCTTCTGTTTAGCAAATCCCCTATAGCCACGAAATCAGCCATCGCTAGCGATACTGAGGCATCACAGAGAACAAGAATTGACATCGAGGATTTATTCAGGCACGGAGCCCACGGATATCAACCACCGAGTGCAAAACAACCGGCGGTAATCAAGGACACTGAAGAACCCGGGCGAAGTTTTATCTTCAGAAGCCCGACAAACATTTCTAGGGTTCTTCCGAAGGATGACTATCTGTCATTTCGGACATCTTTTAATACAACACATGTAGTCCGACAGATACCTGTAGACTCTAGTGGTCAGAACACAGTCCCGTCACCCGGCAATTTACTAGCGTTGTACAACCGAGATGATTCCGCGCGAGTGAACCCCCACGATTACCGCCTGATTTTAGACGAGCCCCAGGCCTGTTTTGACGCCTCGGGGGCCCCAAAGGAGGTCTTTCTATTAGTGCTGATCTGCACGATACACAAGAACTTTGAGCAGCGGCGGGCCATCCGCGAGACCTGGGGAAGCCCGCGGGAAACTGGTGGCAAGCGTGTCATTACAATGTTCCTCCTAGCGTACAACGAGGATGCCAGGCTTCAGCGCCAGGTGGAGGAGGAGTGCAGCGAGCACCACGATCTCCTCCAGGAGGATTTCCAAGACACCTACAAGAACCTGACGCTCAAGACCATCATGGCGATGAAGTGGGCCAGCACGCACTGCCCCCAAGCCTCCTACGTCATGAAGACAGATGACGACATGTTCGTCAGCTACGACAACCTCGTCAAGCATCTTGCCTCCACCAAAGCCCCGTCGGTCAACCACGCGGAGGGTTTTCTCATCAACGGCGGCCCTATCCGGGACCCTAAGAGCAAGTGGTACATGCCTAAGGACATCTACCCCGGCGTAAAATACCCACCGTTCCTCTCCGGAACAGGCTACGTGATGTCTGGAGACGTCGCCAGTAAGATCTACGAAGAATCCCTGGATCACAAATACCTCCACCTAGAAGATGTCTTTGTGGCCATTTGCTTGGACGCCTTGAAAATCAAACCCGTCAAGAACAAAGATTTTCACAACTGGCGCACCGCGTACTCGTATTGTCGCTTTCGCCGTCTGATGACCACTCACATGGTCCAACCCTCCGAAATGCACCGGATTTGGAGCGATCAGCATCGCCACCACAACATCAGATGCTAAGTAATTTTGCCACGATAAGGAGGGTCACTGTAATCGGTAACCCAGGAAGTTTTTGTTAGATTGGGGCTTATAGTCTGCTGGTTAAATCACCTGATACAAGGTGATTTCAGATTAAACAGCATGGATCCATGTTCATGAACAGTAAGCATGCATACGCTTTAGCCTTTTTGAGATTGGAGGACGCAATGAGCTCCGTGCGCAAACAAGAGAGGGCGCTTTTTTACCACCTTTGAGAGCCCCGTGAACGGAACACACTGCGTGTGCGTACTGGTTCATGCATATAGCGCGAAGTACAATGCACAGTGTGCATAAGTGTGTACACGTACTGTGTGCACAATTAATGTGCACAAAGCCAAAGCTTCTTCGCGTGAGCGTCGGGCGTCTTCAGCAATGTGTCGGCCAAAACTTTTGGGCAACATTTTGTGAAAAAAAATTTGAGCCCCCCCTCCCCCCCAAACCAAATCTTGGGTGCGCCACTGATCACATGTTTGAAGGCTCGCCTAGTACCTATTGCGTGGGGCGCTATATGATCTTTTGCCTACTACTACAATGGCGACGCTGACTTTCTAGGAGCCGGATGTAGGCTGGGTCTTGTGGGTCTTGTGGGCTAAGGATTTCGGGGAACATCGGTAGTGGGGAACATCAGCATTGGGAAACATCGGGTAGACCCCAGTGAGAGCGCCCTATAGCAGGGGCATATTTGGCGTGGGTGAACTTCTGTGTGTTTTTTTTACCACAATTTTTCTTACTCCACATTACGCCCACCTGTTGTGTTTGCCTAAATCTCAAAAAGGCTAAAAGCCTGTAAACAGAGCCGTTGAATATCCCCTTGTAAAATCCAAGGCTGTGCCACACAAGTTATTTTTAAACGTTCCGTTCGGCAACTTCTCATCTGCTATAGTACATTTCATTAGCTGAAATTTTAGCTCAAATAAGACTTAGATACACTTACTATACCAATAAAGTTGTAGCGGCTGGGTTGGGCTGTTTGGCTGTCCGAATGCTGAACATTTAAATATTTCATCAACTGAATATCCGAAAAGCATTTTTTTCCAATTCAAATATTCAAAAAATGAAAAGCCTCTACAGTATTTTGATATTGCATAGTTTTAATTGTTTGTCCGAAGCCACACTTTTTGTCGAAAGCCATTTGATGAATAGGCCTAGTAGCTCAAATTTTCTATTTAAAAATGGATGCACGAAAATCCCGATCGGAACCAGTTTAGGCTGGCGCATGTTTGACTCGATCGGGCTTTTAAAATTGAATATTCGAACATTCGATCATGTCCAAGTTGGAATAATCGAATACCAATCTGTTCAAAAATGCGTAGCCACAGTCCAGACTACAAAAAATGTATCCAAACACCCCCGAGTCATGTCTTGCAATGTTTGTAGACTTGGGCATTTTAGATTTTGTGCAAATATGAATATATATATCAGTTACATGCACATCTGGCGATCCAAAATTGACACAGGATTTGTCTAAAATGTTTATTAGGTGCAAGATTTTTTGAGAAATTCAAGGGGGGATGGGGATGTACATGTAGTAAAAGGACCTGTTTTATAACTCGGCCAGCTTTTTTTTTTTGGCAACAAAATAACCAAGCATTCCCCCAGACCTTGCTCTGTTTGAAGTCTAAAACCGCACACAACCATTTCCTTATTGAGGTACAGTACAATCATTGACAATACATGTAGTTTACATTTGTTTACGGCACATGCCATGTGTACATGGACCCATTTTTCTTTTGAACATTTCGAACAGATGTTTTCATTTACAACAAAACTCTGACTGTAGACATGGTAGAAGGTTACAAATGTACGTGCGTGTTTCATTCTGTGAATTTGGGAGCAACTTTTTTTCCCTGTCCCCGTTTCATCTGACATCAGTGATTTTGCAATTCTGATGCACCCCTGAATGCAGTCGTCCTCCAAGAGTGATTATGAATAGCAAACTACCTACCCAACAAATAAAACATCTTTTGAAATCATTCAACACGATACTTGGAAAATGTACCCTAAATTTATAGAATGACGCACAGACAAGTAGAGTTCAAGGGATCAAGGAAAGAAATGCTAAAAGCTTTGATCAACAATCACGGCAAATACAGTCTCTTTATGAAAATGTTACTCCGAGGCCTGCCCAGATTCAGGTGTATAACATTGTATTCATGATGAACCGGTACCACCCGACTGGCAATTTTTATTCGTTATATCCTGTAAATGTAGCTGTAGTGTGTACGTGTATGTACATGTAAAAATATTATATTTTTAGCTTATTGCTTTTTAATAACTGCTGGCGGTATACATGTATGTATACATACATGTACATGTTCAATAGACAGTGGCCTACCGGTACATAACAGTACATGTATTTCTGAACCACATCTTTTCCAACTAACACCATGTATACATTATGTGTAACTACGTACATGTACATGTGTACGTACTTTTACATAATTATGCTTGTATGGTACATGTACATGTACATGTACATGTACATGTATGTGTACCGTATACATACTGTACATACATGTATATACATACATACATACATGTACATTGTAGGTGTACACACAGCAGCATAGCCATTCTCACCATAGGGGGTGAGTGGGGGCACAGGACGGGCACTAAATTTCTTTTAAACCTGTTAACCATGGTCACTTATAAGATGGAGCTATAAGACTTACACATTTCCAGTTGGGGGGAGGGGGGGGGGAGGCGGGTAGGCGGGCGAACATGTTGTACGTGTACATGTATAGTTTTAAGTCAAGACTTAAAAGTGTGTAGACAATCAACTTGAAAGAAATACATGTACATTGTACATGTACATCTACTAACACAGGATACATGTACGATTCAATGTACAGTCGCCTCTCGTTTATACAAACTCGGTTTGAAGAGGGCGAGCGTCAGTCCCATTCGTTGTTCACATAAATGCAAAGTTGGGACCCAATGCCAGATGTTCTCTACATGTACATGTGCATGTTTATATCCAGAATTCGTATTAATTAACCGAGTTTTTAAACGAGAGTTGACTTACATGTACATGTGTTTCTTTGTATGTCCTACATGTATAAGTATGTACAAGTATTAAGACAGATTTTAAAATATTTAAAAGATTATAGTTTCAATATGCAATGTAATTTCCACCTTTGTAAATCAAGAATGTAGGCAGGATACAGTACATGTATATGTGATTATTTTGCTGATAATTTACAACAACAATTGGATGTCAACTACTTTGCCAAGAGTAATTTTGTCCAGAGTTGGTTGTTTTAATTGCAAAAGCAGCGATACATTTGGGCAGTGTTATTGGAAATAGGATGTACGCTATGTACAATGTAAGTACGCTAAATAATATACTGAATGTTATTTATTTTAATACGATACTTGTGGCACATGACTTGTTCTTGATTTGACTTGTCATTGTTCCTCTTGTTGATGACTTCCTGGTCAAAAGGTACATGTACATGTAGTCATTGATTTTAAAGATTGTAATTTTTATGTCGAGATTTTCACCCTGTAGTCATTGTATTCTTAAATCGCCAGCAAATACTGGGAAGCCCTGTCTGTTGTACATATATTGGTGAGACATCTGCACTTGTAAACAAGAGGTAGTGGGTTCGAGTCTCACCGGTGATTGTGAAGTTTTTACCCCACAAGCTGCCAACCATGCAAAAATGTGTGAGTAAAAGGGTTGAAAATTAGCATTTTAACAGGGAATGTACAACATTTGCTTTTGCTGCAATTTTCAGAAATGAATGGATTTGGAGGATTAGTATGTTACAGTAAATTTTGTTAAAACCGACTTATTTCACGGTTTGGGCTTTAAGATGCTAGAAAAACTAAGAAAACCTATTATGTTCTTGTGGTCTGGTTCCCTGACCCCACTTAAGATGAAATGGAGCAATTAATACACTTTAAGGAATTGTAAGGTCAGAGAATCAGTCTAGCAGGCTTGTACCCCTTCACAGGTGTGTAATCAGTTGAAAAGTCAGAATAACTAAACATGAACAATAAGGAACAGTTTTTGAAAAGAGCTAGTTTTTTGGAAAAATACAGTTTTTCTTGAAAATGTCCGCACATCAGGCATGTCAGGAGCCACGATTTGACAGGATGCTTTAGACTGTCAGTCCCTAACAATTCAGTAAGGTATTTCGTGATAATGTGATCATTTCATTTTTTGATGTTTGCAAATGTTGTATCTTCCCTTTAAGTTTAAACCGTTTGTTATTATACATGTACATGTATTTATGCAGGAGAATGCAGTGGTGAGGGCTCGTGACTCGCGATCAGAGGGTCAGGGGTTCGAGTCCAGCTGCTGGCAATATGTAATGTCCTTGGGCAAGCCAAGTTACACCCACTTGCCTCTCTCCACCCAGGAGTATACAATACGTATGTGTAAATGGGTACCGGCATTAGCTGGGGAGTAACATGCGCTGAACTGGCATCCCATCCAGGGGGAATAGAAAATATTCCGAGTACATGTACATGTAGTTTCATGTCAGGGAAACCGGAGATAAATGCCAGTTTGACATGCTGGATGCATCATACGTTTATTGGCTCGTCCCAGACTTTACGACTATACATTATTTACATAAATTATCAATAAAAAAATTGTCATTGGCTGCACACAGCATGATATGAATATCATTATCATATTAAATATTGCCACACATTTACATATATATTATATGCACATACCCTGTTCAATGAAAGTCCTGAAACAAGTACAAGAACTGGAGAAGGCCATGACAAATATTTGAAAGATGATTCCCAATAATGGTCTGCAACAAATTCAATTTTATTTTTTATCAAAACATTTTCAACTTGTATATTATTCCACCCCTCCCTTTTAAGTTTTTTCCCTTTCATTGCTGCCTGCAACCTTCTAAAAAAGGTGGTTTTTTTTACACATAAACAAATGTGTTCTATATTTCAGTAAAACAAAAATGTTTCTCGTAGGGATGCATGCATGTAATTTTTTTTTTCGTTTTGTTGAAATAACACTTGCCTTTTTTTTTTGTTCGTGGACAGAACTTTAAAACGGTGTTTGTGTTCAAAATTCCGTAACCTGAAAAGAACATGAGGTACGGTATTTGAATGATTCTTGTACTAAAAGAAAGCTCATTGATTGGACTTTCATATCCTAGATTTGGAAAGTGCTACAGGCAAAACTTCATTCAAAAACAGGTCCTGCCATTTGGGTCTCGTTCTTTTGACTCGCCCTGGATTTGGTGAATTATCCTACATTACACCATGGTTTTTAGAGTGTAACCATGGTAATATGTTGATTTGAACCAAATATAATAATGCAGCTTTTTTTGGCCAATTGTGTGCTTGTGAATATACATTAAGTAGCCAAAAATTAATTCCCCATTAATCAAATGGTAAATTAAAAATAAATATATACATGCCACATCAATCCTTTGCTTTGTACATTCCATAATTTCTGTGCACACTTTCAATGGATAGTTTTCCTGTAGTTTTCTGTAGTGTTTTTTTTTTCTGTACAAATTTGTTACATAATAGACAAATCCTTGTGGCTACCGTTATCATAATTCTAATAATAATAGAGAAATTTATAAAGTGCAAACAATCGCAGAAAAATCCACCTCACGGCGCTTAAACAAAGAATATGTATTATTTAAGTTAAAAAACACTCACCGGGCCCCCTTCGATGGAGACACCATTGTGCAATAGCTAGCACAATGCTTCCGCCATTAAAGAGGGCCTTCATGATGGAATTGTTAGCGTGCCCAGATTGGTGTATTAATAAAAAAAAATGTAAAACGTTATAGAAGGTACACAGTGGTTTTTTTTTATGCTCTGGCAGGGACAATGTCACTTCGTGGTCGGTCAGTCGGTCGGTCTGTCCCCAGAAAAGTCACCAAAAACGAGACCCCTACGTTTCCCACAAGATATAACTACAACATTTTAATTTTCAAAAAAAAATATATAAATAAATAAATAACTTAAATACATAACAAAAATTGTTTGTAATCAATTCGTAAAGTTGTTTATCAAATTTTGTAAATGAAGGCAAAATATGTGCAGTAATGTTTTAGTCGTGGTATACAGCGCGTTATGGGCCTTATTCAGGAGTTGGCAATTTTTGTCGAGTTCCCTGAATGTATGTCATTAATTGTTAACTGTGTAATGGGATGGCGCCAGACTGTTTATGCAGGCACAAGTGCAGCCTTATTATTGTACTGTCGTTTTTTGTTAAATATGGCTTTAAACATTAAGGAATGTTTAATTACAAATTTTAAATCATTCATTGAAGCAGACTGGAATTTATTATGAATGAAATTGCTTTCAATTCTCTTTGCAAGTTAAGAAAAAAAGTAAGATTTTACCTAACTTTCAATCCAATATGGCCGACTCGTGAATAAGGCCCATAGCACGCTTTACATGTATGTTATGGAAAACCTAGGGGGTTTTATTGTCAATTTTGGGGACAGCGTGATTATTGCGTGGAGGGACGGCGGCCCGCGGCTTGCGTCATATCATAATCTCCGGCCAACGTTTTCGCGTTACGCGAGACTTGAATGCAAGATTGCCAGAGCTTATTGTGCACTCGCACTTGTCTTTAAAACATATCAGTTTGGTGTTATGCGCTGACAGAGAAACTGCCTTTTAAGAAATATTTAGAAATATACATTCGACTCTCGTTAGTACAAACTCTGTCAATACAACATTCTGGTTATAACAAACATAAACCCTTGGTCCCGACTGTTCATTTATGCGCACAATGAATGGGACTGATGTTCCTGATATAACAAACAATTTCGCTAGGTCCTAACGAGTTTGTTATAACGAGACTCGACTGTATTTAGAAATACTATAGTATGGAGTAAGTTTATTGCTTTTATTGGACATAATGGCACAACACATGTACTTAATCTCCAGTCGGTCATACTAATAAGCGTCAACACAGCATCAACACCTCCAAAATGCATTCAAATTGACAAAACAAGTGTTCCAACCGTATAGTATGGGCAAAAATAAAATGTTGGCTCAAAATCAGTTGGTCAAACGTCTGAACATTGCAATTTTAAGTTCAAGAAAATTGGCTCTCAGTGCAGCTCCGAAATCCGCCGCCAAGTTGCTTCAGGGGCAGCGCAGACGATACCATTACGCAAAAGGAGTGATAGCTTTATACAATAATCAACAGAGGGCGAAGGTTACGTGTGAATCCGCATACGACATGATAATTTCATTACCTGCACACCCATATCTGAAATGGTGTAGTCCAAGCAAGGCAAGATAGCGGACGACAGTGCTTTTAGACTAGAGATCAATTTTTCGCGTGAAAAAAACTCCATTTTTGTAAACGAAATGTAACCTCTGACCCACCGAAAATCTCTTTAAGTCTAAACTTTACAGTTCTATGCCTTTTTTTTTGTCAATTTAGAATGTGTTTTGGCAGTGTTGACGGTGTGTTGACGCTTCTGTCATGTGTTGACGCTTCTATCGTGATGACGCTTATTAGCACGACCCTCACCAGTAGACAATACTTGTACAGAATGTCTCAAACAAAATGTAGCAGTCGAACATTTTTTTCTGAGGAAAGTAAATCGGGTTTTTGTTTGTTCAAACAATGATTACCATGAGATGAAAGAGTGTTTCTTTACCTTTGACAGGATTTTTGTTCCGTGTGATTTGGACCCGAGTTTAAAAGTTACGGCAAAGCTTGTAAAGACTGTCCAAATCTGTGTAGGCTACTTTCATCACCTTCTTGGTACTGTATGTGTGTGCCTTTCGTTAGATATCAAGTAGCCCAACTTGGAATTCAAGAAATTTCATTTAATTAGCTGTATCTCTGGATTGGGGTGTCCAAATGAGATGGGATAAAGACCATTGTGTAGAGTATTTACTACACCTTTAGACTTTTGCAAAAAAGAGGGTGGTAGTATTTAGATCATTTATGGATTGACTGCTACATTATTTTTTTGAGGCGCCCTGTACTAACTAAGTAGGCCTACACAGAGTAGTTGAACAATATGTTTCTTTATAAGTCAAGTAGCAATATTTTAATGTCAACAAATACACGGATATTGAATAAAACATTGTCAAATAGTAAACTATTGTCACTGTATACAAACTGAATTTGTAATCTGCTGGAGATTTATTTAATTTCCGCTGTTTCTAAAACAGGAACATGTGTAGGCCTACATGGGTTCTTCTATAAATTTAGGGTCCATAGTGTGACATATTTAAAGCTCTGGCACTGAGGAGCTTCTACAAAAGTACAAGTCACTTTGGTGTCGGTCGGTCGGTCCCGAACAAAATTGACCCAAAATAAAATTGACCTAAAAAAATAAATGCTGTCGTACGTTCATCCGGGAAGCGATATTTTTTATTACACAACTATCTGGGGTACCTGTGCACTTTCCTATGGGCATTTTTATTATAACGTTTTCAAGATAAAACTTTTGACTTGTTGAAAAAAAAGAGAGCAAAACCTGGAAGAGACAGAGCAGGGAATCGAACTCGGGACCTCTGATTGCTAGCCAGCCTGCATATCCACTAGGCAACGGTGGTGCTCAATTGGACTTTGCAATTAATTAATTATAATTATACTTTCGCACATGTGGAGAGAGTATACGCGCGCGCGTAGGTAAAAGGCTACAGGATTGTAGGACGCCGCTATGCGGCGCTCTACAATCCTATAACCTTGATTCAAGTCGCCTGAAAAATGGGTACCCTGTACTATTGTGTAAATAAAATATTGGCGACCCGGCCTTTAAAAATGCCATGATGTCAGTATCCGGCAATATTAAATTGGTAAAATGCCCCTTGCCGAACCGAACGCGTATTTTTTTTTCCTAGGAGGGTTAGGGGCAATGTCATGAATAATTCAGTTTTTCCTTTGAATCATTGCATGACTTAGGTTCTCGTTCTATTTTCCCCTTAATTTAAAATTATCTCAGTGATAAATTTGGAGAAGAAAAATAGCTGATGCAAATGAGCAGCGACGACGTGGATTCGAACCAGGGATCTTTGTTTCCATAGCTCATCTCGCTATCCACTAGGCTACTGTGTGGTAGCTCGACGACAACCGTTCTTTAAAATGCTTTAATGTATTGTAACTAGTTGAGTAACTAACAACAATGCTGTTGATGTCATTGTCCGTTTCATGGATAAACATGAATTATTCATGACATTGCCCCTATAACCCTCCTAGGAATAAAAATTACGCAACCCGCGCCCGATCCTGAACCGAGTGAGGGCGCACTATATCAGCACTAGAAATTTCAAGTTTCATCTTGATCGTATATAAGCAAATCTGAATACCTCGATCTTAATCCTCGATCTCTACTTGTATTCATGGTCAGGGTTTTACTTTAGCGGTAGCCCGCTAGCCAAATGCTAGTCAAAACAGTGGCGGGCGAGTAAAACTATTCCTTAAGTAGCCCGGCTGGCGAGTCAAACATTTTGGGCTACGGCAAAGATGAAAGGACAGGAAGAAATAAATCATTGAATTCAGAAAGCCAACCTGTATCAATTTGTGTATCATTTTATTAACTGTTTAGGGTTAAATTATTGGATATGTTTAGTGAAAACACTGACAAGATTGCATCAGGATACCCGTTTTACACGTATGCACATTGTTGCTTTTTAGACACTTTTTATACAAAAGAAAAGCATGCAGGCTAGTGTATCATTTTATTAACTGTTTATGGTTAAATTATTGGATATGTTTTATTAAAAACACTGACAAGACTGCATCAGGATACCCGTTTTACATGTATGCACATTGTTGCTTTTTAGACACTTTTTATACAAAAGAAAAGCATGCGGGCTAGTGAAAATGCCCTCGGGCTAGTTGAAGAATCTGTTTCAGTAGCCCAGCTGGCTAGTGAAAAAAAAGTTAAGGTCGATCCCTGTCTATGGTGGCGTAAATATAAGGGCCCCCCCCCCCCCCCCAAGTTTCTGGTTTCTGGTATGGAGCTTGCCCAAAAGTGGTGCTGCGACGCGGGTTCTTTTTTCCCCTCCAACTTTTTTTTCTTCAAATGTCGGCTGACATTGCAGATGACGCTTCGATCCTCTTAAAACTATCAAAAACATCCTTCAGGGTGGAGCTTGAGTTGACCTCAGTCAGGCCATAAGGCTTGAGAATTCTGCACCCACTTACGGTTTCACCGACACGATTCTTTGGGAAATTTGGATAGTTAAGACAAAAATCAGAGACAACAGTAACGTCAGACCATACAGCGCTAGCGACATCGTGCATTAGCCACTGATCTCATGAACTGCCAGGCTGGTCATTAGTCTGCTCCCTTATATATTGCGCTAATTAAAAAGCGTTTACAGGTTCCAGATACACGACCATCGCTCCCTCAGTCTGGCTTACAACACCGTCTGCAAATGGTGCCCGACTAAATAAATTTAGTGCAAAATATATGGGAGCCCAGAGAGGCCACATAAGCTTATACTCCATCGCAACCCCATCTAAAAACACGTTAAAAATCTGCAGCAGCAGGATTCCAATCAAACCAGTGAGTTTGGCGGTTTTAAGACATCATCTCACATTGAAAATGTTTTGTTTTTAGTTTTGCCGACGCGCATGGCTACGGCGACGCTCGCGAAGACCAGAAACCGAAGACTTTTAAATTTTTGGCCTAATCTGATATTTTTGTTTTGGTCGTTAGTTGAAACAAAGACGACGCATGGCGGTCATCAATGTTCATGTTCCATGGATTTATGGTCACAGACGTGAAGTCAGTTCAGATATTTTATGTTGATCAAAAGTCACATCAAGTGTCGCGTTTTTTTTTTTTTATTTCTCCTTTCTCTCACTCTCATGTGTCTTTTTCCGGTCGAGGTGAAGAGATCAATATGCGCACAGACAAGCTCTTAATCTCAGTAAATCCGGATGAATAATAGTCGACATTCATTACACGTTATCAATTCATGACACGTAATCAAGAGAGGTGTCTATGCTGCCCTCTGGTGATCCTCAAGACTTCAAGTCAAGAATGCCAACTCTCGATGGCATTTACGTTAGTCTTGGCCCAAGACGCTAGTGATCGATAGTGGACGGTGCATAGTGCGCCCTCTAATGGCACAGCTTTTAGACCAGCAGGCCTTCTCGCACTAGTCTATGTATATGGTCTATCATAATGCCAGCTGATTCGTTGATCAATTATGCAAATAACCGCCTCTTGACCTCTAGATTTTGACCAATCAGCGGGCGCTTCCTATATCGGATCTTGGTCATTCACCCGTTGTCGCGTCATAGACATGGATAAAAAAAAAAAAACACAAAGCTCACGCGCTCTGTATTATGTTACACGGTACGCGCCAAACTGTCTCTGTTTTATAGATCTATGCTCGGCCGTTGTTGTATTACAAAACACTGCATTCGAATCGACCAATCAAACAGTAAGTCCTGATTTGGGAATGAAATGACGTCACGATTTAGTAAAGTCGACTCCGATTGGCTGAGGCGCAGGATCGCATAAATCTGCATGCTTAGATATATCAGACGTTAGACATGAGACTGGGCTCTACAGATAACAGGTGATACTCAGACTAACTCACACTATAAACGTCTTAGCCATTTCGTTCCAGCGGTTTAACTTTTTCTTTATTTTCTCCCTAGGCTTTCCTAGGGAACCGATCAGCGATCGAGAAAAGGTTCAATGGCTCGCCGCGCCCAACGGTTGTAAAAACTTACCCTACCTGCGTGCGGTACGTGATCCAAGGGCGGATCCAGGGGGGGGGGGCAAAGGGGGCCATGGCCCCCCCCCCCAAAACGAAACCAATTTTTTTTTTTTTATGTGACATCGCAATAAAGGCAGGCAATGAGTACACCACCATCTTTTCCTCAAAAAAACATTGGTTAAAGTGGTCAGAAATTGCCTCAGATCGCACCACAGAGCATCTAGAATCCAAAATTTTTTCGGGGCCCTTAAGCGGGCCCCGAACCCCACGCCGTAATTTTTTTCGACCCACTTTTTGGGGGACCAAAATTTTTTTTGGCCCCCCAAAAAATTGTGTTCTGGATCCGCCCTTGACGTGATCAAGCATTATCGCTTTCCTAGGGAACCAATTAGCGATCGAGAAAATAGGTTAAATGGCTCACCCGACGGTTGTAAACATACGCGCTTATACGTGCTTGATCATGATCAAGAATGGAGCTATAAAAAGGAACCATGTTTGTTCGAACATATACAGACGGTCATAATTACATAAAATGGCCCCGCCCCCATTGCTACGAAATGACCAAGACGTTGGTGGGAGTAAGTAAAAATCCAATTATGCAAGGGCGCTACACATCAATGCAACTATCGCTCTTGATCACTGACGTCTAGGGCCAAGACTACATCTACGTCGGCGTTTTTGGTCCCTCCAAATCCTATACATTTCCGTGGGCCGAAGTTTGTGAGCGCTTATCAGCTGCCGGAATCGACAATACGAGTATTCCTGGCGCTGACATGTAAAATAATAGTTATTCCTCCGCTGAACTTTCAAAGATTTCAGGCAAATAGCCACAAAGACATCCTCGAGGTGTAGGTACCTCGTTTGCAAAGACTCTTCGTAAATCTTCCCGGTCAGTTCCCCAGAGATCACGTATCCCGCTCCAGAGAGATACGGCAGGTACACGCGTCCAGGATACAGTTCCTTTGACATGTACCACTTGTGCCCGGGGTCCCGAAAGGGCGCTGCATTGGGGTACAGACGCCCCACAGCGTAGTTTGTTGACGGTGATCTAGTCAGGTGCTTGACAAGGTTGTCGTAGCTGACGTAAGAGTCGTCGTCTGTCTTCATGACGTAGGAGGCGTGGGGGCAGTGCGTGCTGGCCCACTTCATAGCCATGATGGTCTTGAGCGTCAGGTTATTGTAGGTGTCTTGGAAATCTTCCTGGAGGAGATCATGGTGTTTGTTGGACTCCTTCTCCACCCGCTGCTGAAGATAGGCGTACTGGTTTTGAGCCAACAGGAACAGGGTGACGACCTTCTTTCCCTTGATCTCTCGTGGGCTTCCCCAGGTCTCACGAATCGCCTTTCGCTGTTGTGTGTGCAAGTGAACGGTGAAGATAAGGACTAACAAGAACACTTCCTCGGGGGTTCCTGCGGCATCGTAGCATGCCTGAGGTTCGTCCATGCGGAGTTTGTACTCGTGAGGATTGATGATCTGCCTGGAATCATCTCGTTGGTTTGAACTTGTCTCAGTAGGCTTCATGGTCAAATTTCGTATCACCATAATTGGGTAAGTGTGCTTCGTGGGAAAAGTAAAGATCAAAAGCCAACAGGTGGCCATTACCACAATCACAAATATTAGGTATAATTTTGATGGATTCATTGTGAAATGTTGAAGTTACTCGGTAGCCAAAATCAGACCTCAGGCAGATAGTTCCGGTGCGAAAAGTGACCCTTTTGGTGTCCAGGTAACGTGAAGGCCCATTTCGATGATCAGTGGTCCCACTTCATGCAAGATGTTCTTTTGCTGCTCACTGAGCGCCTCTTTCACATCTGGTGTAGTATATGCGCCGGTAGAAGCTGGACAGAATTGACCGCGAGAGGGCGCCGGTGTAGAACGAGTGTCGAAGGTTGAACTTGAGACACAAACGGTTAGTCACCGACGGTAACAGTGATGCGCCTTTAAGTAAGAGTCAGGAATCACACACTGTTAGGGACGAAGTCAAAAAGAGTCAGTTATATGTAGCTGAATATTGCAACTCCTACTTAATTGACACTAAATAAGTACAGGTTGTCCCACAAAACACATAACAGTCGAAAACCAATTAATAAAGGTATATTGCATACGGGTTTTGGAATATTTTCAAATCACCTGTTAAAGTCAGATAACCTACCATAATCTACCATACAAACTTTATTTCATTCAAATCGATGCGTGGAACAAACGCTCAGCTTCATCGAACCCAATGGTTGAAAATCGTCTTTTGCCACTTTCCTTGAAAGTGAGAAAGCGGAGTTAGAGAAAAACATAAAGGATTTATTTCCTTTGTTCAAGAGTGACGTGTGACTTATTCTACCCGCTTCGATCTGTAAACTTGATAAATAAAAAAGTGCCCCAAGTGGTTTTTCAAGTCCCATATTGTGATTGCTGTATCTTTTGAACAAAATACCCTCATGAAACTAACTAAAAAATATTTGGAAGACCAATTATTCTACTCAGCAATACATTAGACACGATTTTGAATACTCCCCCACTTTTCTGAAAACATGCCCGATTCGACTGTTAGGTTTTTTTGGTAGGACAACCTGTATATAAGTGTATATTGCCGAATTTAGGTTAATTTCTCAAACATAATGAGGAACTGTCTATGCAAGCATCGTTGCGGAAGCTTTGAATCTAGCTCAATCAAAAAAAATGAGTTGAAATTTATGAAAGAATCCAGCGAACAACGCCCCCCTCTGATGAAGCTAATGTGTAGATTTTTAACTTAAAAAAAAACGACCAAAAAATCTACCAAGTTGACGTTTTTGGCGATTCACCTTCCCAGTAGAAGTTCCAAAGTTCGTAAATGCAATTCAATGTCCGTGGCAGAGTTTAGAGCTCAGTGAGCATAAACCTGAAAATGTGCTCTTCAAATGTAATACATCCACCATGTAGTGGCGAACGATCGAGATTACAGACTAGGAGTTTGGGATCATGTCTCTGAATCATTAATTATCATCATGGTTAATAGGCTCTGTCACAGACATTAAACTTCCTTTCATCATACTGGAATTGCCCATAATTTTAAAATATGTAATGGCATTCTTCTCTTTCAGAGACATTTATCTCAAGTTCCAATCGTCAGCGACACATCGAAGAAACGACCAAGTGGACTTGAGTGTGCGCTACGCGCGCGTATTTTACAGAACCGAATGATTTTCGTTTTCACGAAGTAACTCTAATTCGTTTTTACCAAGCAACACTCATCTTTCATTCACAAGTTTGAATTTTTTTTAATTAAAATTGTATGTAATTCATTTCTACAAGAATACTGATTAATAACATTCCTGTCAAAAGTTTTTATCCAAATAATATTTCCGTAACCCTCGTGGTTAATGGCACTGATTCGTGGTCTGTGGGTAAAGCTGCAGGTTGTGGGTTCGAGTCCTGGCGGGGTCATGGTTCGTGTGACCTTGGGCAAGGCACTTTGTCACTCATTGCTTCTCTCCACCCAGGAGTAAATGGGTACCTGTGATGGCAGAGATGGTTATTGCGATTGAATCAGCTTCCTTGCGCCTAACAGGCTGCATCGAGCTGTATACTCCCAAGGGAGCTGAGATGGTATTTGGAATGTTTCATGTGCCCAATGAGCAGGGGTAATAACGATGTAGCGCCTTGAGCACCCGTCCTGGTGGATACGTGCGCTCTATAAATATCCACTATTATTACTATTATTAGTAACAGTGTTGTAACTTTGTGAAAACGAAAATCGTTCGCGCCACTGTCTGATGTGCGCGTGGGTTACAGCCCGATAGTCCGAACGTTCGATAGTCCGAAGGTTCTTTAGTCCGAAGGGTCATTAGTCCGAAGGTTCGTTAGTCCGAAGGTTCAATAGTACGAAGGTTCGATACTCCGAATAGACGATAGGGTTCGATAGTCCGAATCGACAATAAGGTTCGATAGTCCGAATAGATGATAAGGTTCGATAGTCCGAATTTACGATAGGGTTCGATGGTCTGAATTGAAAATAAGGTTCGATAGTACGAATTAAGAATAAGGTTCGATAGCCCGAATGGGCAATACAGTTCATCGGTCTGACACTTCGGACTATTGGACCTTACTGTCGATTGGGACTATCGGACCTTATAGTCGATTCGGACTATCGGACCTTATTGTCGTTTCGGACTATCGGACCTTATAGTCTTTTCGGACTATCGAACCTTATTGTCAATTCGGAATAATGAACCTTCGGACTATTGAACCTTATTTTCGTTTTGGACTACTGAACCTTCGGACAGATTAACCTTATTCAGGCGCGGATCCGGGGGGGGGGGGGGGTTTCAACCCCCCCCAGCTCTGTCAAAAAAAAATTTCCACATACAAATTCCACAAAAATCAGTCGAACCCCCCCCCCCCCCCCCCCCCCCCCCCCGCTGTGACACCCAAAAAAAGGTATACTGGTATAATGTTTGCCTGTTCAAAATACGGTAGACCATTTTGTAATCTAGTGTTAATAATCATCGAATTTGAACAGCGCCCCCTATTGAAATATGTTACCAGCCCCCCCCCCTCCCCGTTTTTGATTTTACGGAGGCCAAGTGTCCAGAGAAAAACAACCTGTGTACATTTTCAGATTTTTTTGCTGATGACCCCCCCCCCTGCGAAAATTCCTGGATCCGCCCCTGTTATTCTAAATTCGGACTATCGAACCTTCGGATAAATAAACCTTCGGACTAATGAACCTTCGGATTAATGAACCTTCGGACTATTGCTTCAAATGTTCGGATTGACGAATCCTATTTTCATTTTCGGACTAACGAACCCCCTCTTATGTAAATTTTGTGCATTCGGACTATCGAACCTTCGGACTAAAGGACCTTCGGACTATCGGGCGGTGCCCGTGCGCGTGCACACTTGAGTGTTACTTCGTGAAATCAACACTTGTCATTAAGCGGTTTTCGAAGTAACACTGAAGTGGACTTGGCGTTACTTCGTGGTGTCGGTGACAAAATATTAAACTATATGACCGTGTCATTGATTGGTATCTATTGTGACCGAATCATTTGACCACGGACGGTGATATTAAACACATGCGTCCATGCGGACGTTGCTGTAGCCGCTTCCATAGGTGCATGTAAAATTGCAAGCCACGTACGGCTATGTCCATGTAATTCGGACAAGTCCAATCGCCGCAAAAATGTTATCCAGCTTTAAGTTGTTGTACATGACGTCGGGGGTTATCCCGCAGGTAGTTGAAAACTGAAACAGTAATGCTAATTACCTGTACGTCCGTTTCGCTAGGAAAGGTGACCCGTTCAGTTGGTCCACTTCGACAGTTGTGAAAATACTGCTTGCAACGACCAGCAATACAAATGCAAAAATAGATACACGCTCCGAAAATGTAACAAATTTACGTCCATCATAATAATATGGGACGCGGGTCGATATCCAGGCAACACATTTTGGTGGGATCGTATCGATCGTACAGGTCCATTTCAATACATGCCATTGTTAGATAGAACTTCCGGATCACACGATAGCAAATTGGGTGAGCGTGGAAAGGTCCTACAGGTGTTAAAACAAAGCTCTACGCACGCAAATCGGCCGGACGGAGTGAAACCACCTGTTTCATCAAAAATGAAAAGAAACCAATTGAGTATTGCGCGCCCTTTACAGGGTTGTTCAAAATAAAGGAAATTCACTTTTGACAGCAGTTTTCACCTATTTTTTAACAACAATTTGGTGTTCATTCAGTATCCAAAAACCTTTTTGATCATAACTTGGTTTAAATACTTTGGGTTAAATGCAAATGATCATAATAATATGCTTTTAATGTTAATATCCAGAGAAAGGTCATTGAAAGCACATCAGAATTTTTGATTATGGTTTGATTACAGAAACAGAGAGAGAATTTATACAACCATGTGAAAATATGGCCGTTGCGTGAAAAAGGACGAATTTAATAGCGGTATTGGTTAAGGATAAACACTGATTACACTAACAGACAAAACAGAAAATTGAAGTCATTGCTAACAAATTGATTTTTTCTTTAATTTACCACAATTATATTAACATTTTTTTTTTCAAATATACAAACTACATACAAATATTACGGATGAGTTCAAACTTTAACATTCGACAAGTGAAACAGCGTACTTACCAAGTGCTCATTAAAGAAACTTTTTGGGCTACCTGAACAGATGATGATTCATTTGAAATAAGAATCTAGAGAAGAAGGCGATCGAAAATTATGAAAAAAATTAATGTTTTGCATAAAGGGCAGATTATCGTTAATTTAAAGGGCCCGTACATTGTAATTTGTTTAATGCCGTCCTTGAAAATTCACTTTTGTGTTTTAGAAGTGGATTTGACCATATTTTAAAACTTGGAGCCTTTTTGTTATGCTAATGCTAATTTCCATATTCATGAGCAAAAGTGTGATGTCATTTCAGGCAGAAAACTCACTGTTACGGCTATTTGCAAGTTGCCAGAATTTTGGATATGATTATGCTGTCGTAAAATTTGTATCTGAGGTGATTCGTTGTTGTGTCAGTACATGGCAGTAAGCCAATGAGCAAACTTTTTTTCACGAATGTTTTCAATGAGAAATGTTTATGGTTCACAGTTTGAACAGAAAACCCCACAACTGAACAGTATCTTCCTGAAATGACATCATAACAACAGCGCCGTCTGTTGTCCGGAAAAGCATGGACTATTTTAAATGTTTAAAGAAGAGACTTTTCAATAAAATAAAACATGAAAAGGAAAGTGTGTTCCTCAGAAAAATTCAGTTCTTTGATCCTTTAAGGTTAGTATGTGACTCAAACAGCTGGGAAAATTAGCTGAAATCGTCAAAAATATCATTAAAAAGATTCAGATTTTAAGACTATTTCGATTTGAACCTCTTATGTAAGTTTAATACTGTCAAGTAGATTCTTTACAATGATTCTTAACAATGGGACTCGATTAGGTTGATTAAAACAATGTCAAAATGCTTGTATGGATATTTTTCGTGTCATAGAAAAATCAAATCTTTGAGAGATTTTAGATTTTTGTGTGAAAATTGTGGAAGTACCGGGGTAAAAGAGCGCACTTAACTTTGTAGAACTGTGAAGTATAAACGTGAATACTCATCATTGTGAGATCAAAAGAAATTGAACATTTCTTTAAACTAGACACAAACTACATCACGGGGTGTTTTGTTACGTAAAATAAAACAAGCAAATAATTGCTTACAATCATGCACATTGTGCTGTATGAAAAAGATCGCGCATTGTGTTGTCACTGACACGTTATACAGGGTAAGTAAAAAAAAAACGAAACCCAAATGTCGGGACCATTGTTTTAGTGAAGTTCTGCATCTAGCACTTTCAAAATCTAGGATATAAAAGTCCAATTCATAAGCTTTCTTTTAAAATAAGGATCATTCAAATCACTTATTTACTTTTCAAGGATCACAAAAGAGTTCAGTGTTCTTTCAGCAAAACGAAAACAAATCACGTAAGGATGTGTGTGAATTGTTTTCGTTTTGCTGAAAGAACACACACCTTTTTTGTGATCCGTGGACAGAACTTTAAAACGGTGATTGTGTTTAAAACTCCGTAACTTGAAAAGTACATAAATGATTTGAATAAATCTTGTACTAAAATCTAGGATATGAATTGGGCTTTCATATCCTAGATTTTGAAAGTGCTACATGCAGAACTTCACTAAAACAATGGTCCCGACATTTGGGTTTTGTTTGTTTTTACTTGCCCTGTATTACGTTGCAGCTATAACAAAGCTAAGTTATCTTGATTTAGCTGTTTTTATATTAAACTCTGATAGGCAATCCACAACTTCAATTTTGTTTAATGTTTGTTTTGCTTGTTTGTGTGTGCGTGAGCTTGTGCCTGTCTGTCTGTTTGTCGTCCTTTGTTTTTGTTTGTTTCTGTGTCTAATCAAATTGTACTGTTGTAGTTGGAGAGCCTCTCGATAACCTAGTAGCTTCTTGGGCAATCCCTCAGGCCTGCATATGGTTCAATTTAATGTCGAATGTGTTTTAATGTGTTGTTTGCTAGTTTCGTGTATAGTAACCTTTTTGTAGTCTGTCCTTTTGATATTCATTGTTGTGTCTAGCAATTTTTACGTAATTGAATTTTAAAACTGTCTTATATTTTTATATTTTTATTGTCTCGTCCCTGAGCAATTATCTAATAAATAAATAAATAAATAAATAATTATAATTATAATTTTGTGCAAAATGTGTCTTCACGATTTCTATTAATTTTTCTATGGACCCATATGTGCATTTTCTTTTCTGTATATTGTACGAAACCACTGGAACATTACGTCATGCAATTGTCAGCGCGCTGTTAAGTGCTCTTAAAGATGTCTCCACAAAATCCATTCCATTACGGAAGTGAGTCCTGGCCTTCATGTCGTTCCGGTTATCTAGATAAAATGTCTTGAAGTAGGTCTATACGAAGCCGGCGAATTGAACGTTTAGTGTATATTCGGTGTGCAGAAGGCCGTCGAAGTGATAAGAATCATGATTGACAGTACAAGGTTGCTTAAAAGGTTTCCTTGTCTAAAATAAAAACCCGTTGTACTTTTCTCGAATCGCAAAAAAAACCCTGAGGATTTTCTTTTTGTTGATTCGTGGTCTAAAAGTCGAGATTGTTTTATGGCTGTATCTTAAAAGATGCAATCTGGAAATACCATTTTGTTTTTAACAACTGACCTTTTCAATATGGAGTGCCGTGGCCTCATAGTCTAGAGCATTGAATTCGTGGTCTGTGGGTAATTCTGCAGGTTGTGGGTTCGAGTCCATGCGATCAATGACCGTTTTCAACAAAAGATCCAACGCTCGAGGACTGAAAGTATCTTTTGTTTTCCCTTTGTGTGTCTGCCCTCTATCGTAAAGCCATGTCATGTACATTGCTGTGTAACAGTGGATACTGTACTTTAAAAATACACATTATTAATATATTACTATTAACTTCTTTCAGTAATTTGATTTGCTTGATTTTTTGTTATGATTGGTATTCAGTGCATTTTCTTGATTTAGGACGTCGCATTAGCCAGTGAAGTAGGGCTGACAAGAGTAGCATTGAAGTAAGGCTGACAAGAGGGTGCTATTTGGAGTGGATTAACTCTTTTGTAGTTCCCAACGTTTAACCACTTCAAATAGCGCCCTCATTTGGTGTCCGCCATACTTCGAACTAACGGCGTTCACACCCAACTTCAATTGCGATTTTTGAATCAAAAATATTAATTATAATACAAAATGTCTTACCGATTTCGTTTCAAAATTTATACAGACGGTCATATTTACATAAAATGGCCAAGCCCCCATTGCTACGACATGACCAAGACGTTAGTGAGAGAAGGTAAAAAACAATAATCTTATGCAAGGGCGCTACACAAACAATGCAACTATCGCTCTTGATCACTGACGTTTGGGCCAAGACTAGTTCTCACTCAGCTCAATAGCTTTAAATGGCATTCCATGGAGACGGGACTCTTTTAGTGAAAAATGCATAACTGCTCATAAGGCCAAAAAAATATATATTTGGTCTCTGCATGGTCAGACCAAAGTTCTGGAATTGACGCGGCCACGCGGCTTTTTTTTTTTTTTTTTAGCTGTTTTTCTTTTTTCTTCTAGCTTGGATTTTACAAACAAGGTGGGGTACTATTTTGCTTTTTTGGTGTCCTCATGTACATTGGTGTCCTCCATTATTTGCCTTGGTGCTTTCGATCATTTGCCTTGGTGCAATTTCCCATTCCTTGGTGCTCTTTGGTGCGGAAATAGAGGGCACTGTTGGAGCTACCGCGTAACATTTTGGAAAAAAAATCGACGCGCATGATTAAAATCGACGCGCGCGCTGACCAGAGACCAACTTATTTTTGTTTTGGCCTAACATTGATCAATTCCAGTAATTCCTTCTTCTTTTTTAAATGAGTGCAAGAACATGCTTGTTAAATATATGTTTCGTAGGTGTTTCAAATGCACGTTATGCATGAAAATATACTTTGACCAGACATTCATTCGGAATCGATAAAATATACCTTTGTGCGCTCTGGTACAGGCTACCTGATCTCGTTTAGTTCAGACTGTAACGTTAGTGCTTCTAGTTCGCACTGAGTTCAAACTTGCCTCTGGCTGGATCGTTGCGGATCTGTGCTTGCAAAAGAGCTTCCTGAAGCCTGCTTTGAATTGCTTGTACTTGAACGCGTAGATGAACGGGTTGACTGCCGAGTTGGCGGCCACCAAAGCCACCGAGAAGATGTACTCAGGGGAGGCGTCGTCGAAGGGGTTGCCCAGGTTGGCTCCGAGGAGGAGGGACGCGTTGAGCGACCAGCAACAGACGAAAGCAGCGAAGACGATGACCAGGGTCTTGAAGGTGTTGCGCCGGGCCCGGAGCAGAGACTCGTCGGCCGACTCGTGGGCCGGGTTGGACGGCCCGGAGACGGTCCGCATGTTGCCTTGTCGGTCGGCGCTCCGCTTGAGCTCCACCATGATGTGGATGTAGGCGAAGAGCATCGAGGCGACCGGAATGAAGAACTGCAGGCCGGGCACCATGATCCCGATGACCTGAAGCTTGAAATCGAAGTAACGGTCACAGCGGTCTACGTTAAAGCGATACAGCTCGGTAGCGTAGATGGCCACCGCAAAACCAGCCACCCAGACGGAGATTATGACCACCGTAGCCCCGAGCCGAGTGCACATGGACTGGAACTTGAAGGGGTAGACTATAGCCAAGTACCTCTCGAAGGTGAGAGCAACCAGGTTGAAGGAGGAGACGACGTAGAAGGCCCAGAGGAAGTAGTTGGAGACCCAGATTTTACAGAGGAGTAAACCCCCTGCGCCGGGCGGTAAGGGGCTCGGCGTCGGGATGACGCTGCTCAACAACATCACGACGGAGCCGAGGAAATCCACAGTAGCTTGATTGAAGATGAATGCATTGGTCAGGGTGTGCATGGCACGGTCTCTCCAGATAACCAAGCACACTAGAGCATTGCCCAGCATCCCGATTATTCCAACAATAGTCTGCACGATAAATATCGGGGACACTTCGAACGCCATCGTCCAGGGCCTAAGTTGTCCTAGCACGGAGAATGAACACCCTTTGAAGTTGTACGGCACAATGACAAGCTTCACCGTCTGAAAAGTCAGCGCAGTTTATCTGACGAAACTTGGAGATCTATTGAACTCGGACTTGCGACGGCATCGCCGATCCTTCTCTGACAGTTTCCGTCGAAGTCAACGATGAAATGTTGATGGATCGAACTTCGCCGGAAAAAACTAACAAACACAGAGTGTCGCCAAGTGCTGAAACGTGTGTCAAAGGAGCGGCTTTGCTTCTCGCCTTTTCCTGCGTGATCATTAATTTCAATCCAAATAGGCCTAATGAGTTAACGCTGTCAGCATTTCTGTGTAAAGTAAATGTTTTCTCTGTCGACGAAGGAATATACCGTCATCCTTTCTTCACTCTCCGAGAGCCAATACTTTCCCTCCTTGTCGGGATTTTGCGACTACAGCAGTCGCTTTTAGTCGTCAGCAATGAAGTCATACAGTGGCTTGCTGACTGGAAAAACTCGGAGTGCGTAGCGGACGAGTCAGGATCGAGACTGGAACCTACCGGAGCGGTCTGACTGCGTTGATCGAAGACCCTTTGCCGTCTGAATTTAAAACCTCGCCGGGCAACAATCGCAAGTCGTTTGCGTCAATCCAATCATGCTCTTTGCCGATGCGAACACGTGACCGCTTCAACCGAAGCAACACCGCACCTATCCAATAACCGCAAGATGCGTACCAAAGGCCACAAGTCTGAGTGCAGCACGTATTTCCGGCAAAGCTTTAATATTGAGTCACGTTGCTCATTCCTAGAAGAAAAAAAAACAATCTACGCTTTACATTTAATACAGAGGAAATTGCGAATACGGAGAGTGTTTCACTGCTGTGATATGAAGTGGATGTTGGTATAATTGAAGATGAAGGTTATTTCAATACCATTAATGAACTAGGGCTTATCTAGAGCCCTGGATCATTGTGAACACACTCCAGCACGTATCAAAGATAAACCGTCCGTGCTCCTAAAGACGTTCGGTTATTCTGTTGACGTATTGGCAACTTCAATGATCTGATACACCGTGCCCTCTGGAGACATGCACACAATAGGGAACAAAATATTGTATACGTCTCCACAGGGCAATTTCTATAGATGAATACGTCTCCACAAGGTTTTTTTACGAAATAGATATATAGATTTTACTCAAAAACAAATGGTAGAGTTTTAGAAAAGGGATATTAAGTCCGACTTTCAGCCAAGGAAATTAATTTTGGCTAAAATAAGAGCATTTTGAAACTGTACTTTCAAGCTCGAAAACTTTAGCACACGAGAACAAAGAAATGTCTCCACAAGGATAGTTCAGTATGTGTGTTTTCCCCCGTGAAATTAAAGCTATTTTATGACAGTCAAAAGAAAAAAACCCAGTAATGTGCATATGAACAGAAATATCTCTTAACTTAGGCCTCTATACCCATTTTTAGAGAAAGTTAAAATTAAACCATTTAAATAAGGATATTTATTATTCTTACATGTGTATTCTTACTCAGTTAAGTTCAAAGGTTAGGCTATAGCTCTATAGTTGAAACTTGGAAAAACATTAACCCTGATACGTAGCTGTGCATACAAGTGTGACGTCGTAATGACGTCATTATGTATCAAATTACAAGTGATTTTGGTTTAAAAAAAGACCGATTCGGATCAATCATGTGCAATATGAAGTATCGTGTTTACACTTTGTGATCTGATGATAGATCATACCTTGATGAGCAATTCTGGTCGTGGACGTGAAGTCGCGTAACCTTTACTACCGGGGTTAACGGAAAGTCGATTGTCATGTGAATTCCAAATACCGAATGAAGAGTCACTATTAAAACAGAACGGAATTTATTCCGAACCGTTTAAGGGATGAAGAAGAAACCTTGTTCAAGCTTGAATCCTTGATGTGGCAAGTTTCACGTACGTTTAACACATTGTGCACATAATATTTTCGTATTTTCAGTTCTTTTTACTTTATCTTGCATATAAACACCGCAAAAAAGCGAGTCCACACTCATTGGAGGGGTCACAATTTTGAATCTGATTGTCTTATGAAACTATTGTAAGAAGAATTTGAAAGTGATCAGTCGTTTTTGTTTTGTTTTTGTTTTTTTAACAATGGGAGACTGTTGAGACGCTTGGTGATAGCAAACATACTGGTCCTTTCTATTGTTTGCGTCACGTTTAAACTAATGTGCGCATGTTCAGACATGACGCAAACAATAGAAAAAAGAACGGTGTGTTTGCTGCCACCAATTCTCCCATTATTGAATAGACAGTGGATGATCTTAGCCCAAATAATGATTTCAGCTACATTATTGACGTTAGGCATCCTTATTCTATGACGTCATCAAACCGTACGACAGGCATAATCTATGCATACACATATACATCAGTGTATAGTATTTTGAGATCTTCTTTTCACTTGAACTTGCACATGACTGTATTCCTGCTTAAATCAATATTCATTATGCACTTATTTCGGCTCGGGTAATAATCAGCATCCAGATTTCAACCAGTCTTAAACATAGTGTTTAAAACCGGCCAAGCAGTTATTAATTTTATTCCCTTAGTAAAGTTGTTAAATATACGTGATATTTCTACTGTTTCCATCCAAAATGGCGCCGTTTGCAGCGCCCTGATTTCTCAAAAGTACGGCATATTGTATTTCAAACAAATTGAACTCATATTCAGTACATAACAACGCTCACTTAGTAATCTATATGCTTTAATAGCCTGAGATAACCCGTAATCTAGTCAACTTTTTAATACAGGGTGACCCCTAAAAAATGCAACCCTGAAACATTTGCCTTTTTGTCAAAAATGTGAATTTTTATGTTTTGAATATATATATATGACAGATAAAGCTCTCAGCTTAATTCTGATATCTCCAAAACCTAAAAATTCACAGATCACGTTTTTGAAAAAAGGCAAATGTTTCGGGTTGCAAACGAAACAATTTCATCCAAAACAAAGGGCATCCGCATTAACCTAGTTTGAACCTCAAATGTGACCTGCTTTACTTTATACCGCAGTATATGTAATCTACTAACGTCCTTGGAATTAATAGCACGCAGAATTAAGCACACAGAGAAAACATCCCTTACGTCTTCATCCGCCCACACATAATTTCGAGTATGTTCGTGGGCCCTCAATTAGTTTTGCACTCCTTTTAATAAAGAAATGAAAATCAACCAGATTGTTGAATGCATCATCCAATTTTGCTCCAAATGGATATTATGAAGTCCAATCAATTTAATGCCTCGGGCATCAAATTGATTGAAAACTGAGGGAAATGGAACTTAATAAAAGAAAAAGGGTTGCGTCTTCATGCCAGTTTTGATGCCACATCAGCAATTAACAAAACCTTGGTATAAATTGACAATAACCAATCAACGTGGGAAGACACTTGACATCAGCCTCGAGTCCAGGGGCGCGTGCTCGTTCCTTACACTAACCCCTGGCTGTGATGATGACGTAAATGACGCTGAATGGTTATTCACAGTGTACTGCGCGGGCATTTCGAAGATTGCACGACGGGCGCGCCCATAATGCGCTCGCGCACGCGTGCTTAGCTTTGCACGTAACGTCACGTACGAACAAAAATTATGATTCAAAAGTCGTGATGCCTGTACGATATGGATTAGTCAGCCGCGTTTTTCGCAAAAAAAACCCTGTATCTGTGGTTGTAAAGGCACGAAAGGGGTACGTACATTTAATACAAATCTTTGCTAATTAACACAACGTCCAAACGTTGTGTTTGAAAGGATTGATTCTTCAAAATCACAACTTTTAACAATTTAAAGATGGCGTCGGCACATAAACGGATAAACTGCAGCCCTAATTATAATATACCGTATTTTGGTATATTTAAATTACACAATTCCAGGGGTTACGATCGCGCAAGGCATGATGGGAAACAACATGGCGCTGCAAGATCGTACCCACGGGGCACGAGGTTGACTTGACATAGGCACTGCGTTTTTTAAGCTCTGGCAGGAGCTTCTACGTGTCACTGCACCGATCCAGTAAGCTCCGCCCCATGGGGTTCTGACCAATCGCAGCCGCGATTTATGTCCGACGTGCGTGCACAAAAGTCCGACATGCGTGTATGCGCGTATGAGGCAAGGCGGCAGGAAACTGCAGTGTGGCATTGGAGAGGAACACGTGTCCTATTTGCCCAGTGCGCAGTAGGCGGGGCTTACTGGATCGGTCCCTTCGTGGTCGGTCGGTCGGTCTGTCCCCACAAAATTGACCAAAAACGAGCCCCCTATAAAAGTTTCCCATACAAATTGACCAAGAATTGAGCCAATGAAATGCTGTTGCCGGTAGTGGTGAAAGGTTTTGGAACACGCCCCTTTGCCTCGATCGATGCGCATGCGCGACTATTTTGCATATGATGTGAGACATTCCGGAACTGGGCCAGAACTTAGTGTGCATTCGCACTTGTTTTATTTTATGTCCATTTTAAACATTCTTTCCCTGGTCTATTGATTTGAATTACCTTGACAAAAACATTTTTTTTTCAAACCCTCAGAGAATAGGGGTGTAACTGGGGAGGGGGGGGGGGGCGTATCCTGGCCTGGCCTGAGACCTCCCAAGCGCCTCTCTCTCTGTGTGCAAATTGAACCCCAGCTACGCCACGCCTCGAAACCAGAAACCAGGATAGAACCGTACGCTAGACTAGTTATTGGTTACATGTATGTATTTGAAACACTGAGAGCAGGTTGACTGATGCACGGATCCTACACTCAAGGATGAGCGACTGATCTGAGCTCTAATACAAAATGCACTGAGCGGACTTGCCTTAATTGGTTGGACGCGTAATAACGGGCATTAATACCCGTTCATTTGGCATGTTAAATCCAGAGTCCATCATTTGCAGTTATTCAAAAAGTAGCTGGCGTAACTATTGTTGAAAAACATACTTAATTGAAAGATAGTCAGGGAACTAAACTCCCTGTGAAATTATTCTTTCCGGCAAGCTGTCATTTTGAAGAAATCAACGAAAGAAGACCTTTCCAAATTTCAAAATTTCAAATTCAAATTTAGTAGTTTGTTTTGTTATTCGGCGAAGCGCGCGCAAGCATTGGCACGACGCACACGTGCGTGCGGTTGCTATAATTCGTCGAATCATCGCGTATAGCTGCAACCGGCTCAGCGAGAACGTGTCTCGGACGCTGAATTCAGGCCCAATTCAGAACATGATTCAGCAACTTTTGATTTGAAATCGAGATCCTAGAATGTTGTTTTTCTCGAAATATACAGCTAAAGCTGAGCTGAAACTTCATCAAGTTATAGTTGTTCAGCACCCTTCTTTCGATCTTTAGCACTTTTGTTGCTTCAAACGAACAAAATGCACAAATTACAAATGATGGACTATACCTTTAATCGCGAATGTTCCAGGCGTGCCATTGTGTCGTTTTTTGTTGCATGACATCTAAAACGGAAATATTCATAAAACTGTAAGCAAAACCACTCCTTATGTAAGATATTCTTGTTCCAAAATTGTTAACAAATAAATACTTCAGGATGGTATTGGGCAGTTTTTGTC